TCAAGTAACATTTTTTTTTTATATTTATTTTATTTGAGTTAACTATAATAACCCTGTTGTAAAAAAATACCAAACTGTCTCAATCATCTACTCAGTGTTTATCTTTCAATACATAAATATGAAGATATATTTAATTAAGCAGTTTTAACAATTATTTAAAACTTTTAAAAACGCAAAAGCTTAACCATAATTGCTTTCAGAAAAATGTATGAAAATTTTGTGAGATTAATTCTTTAATAAAGCAAGAACACCTGGATTATGAAAATTAAAGAGAATAATTTATTTTTATTATTTATTTATTAATTATTATTATTATCAATAATAATACAAAATGATCTATTTTGGGCTGGCATGTTTTATTCCTGATTAAAATGCAAAAATTTATAAGTGTTAACAAATGTTTGAATAAAGATATGGTATATTTAAATATTTGTGTTATAAACAACAAAGTGATTAAAAAATCCGAATGGCTGTTTGAAAACATGTAAATACTGTTTGACTTCCTTTGACCTCTGTGACAAACAAGCAGGTGTCAGAAGTTGCACTTGCGGGGTTCTGCTTTGTGTACAAGGGTAACCACGGTAACGGTGTATTTCTGCTGTTCCTAAAGCGCCACCTCCTGTCAGAGTGAACTTGCATTTTTATTCAGCACGTCTGCAGCTTTGTTCACATCAATGAGAAAATCTGACCGAACTTTTACACAGCAAAAGCGCAGCACAGTGTTGTAAAACTTAACTGGTCGATGGAAAATAAGATAATATATGCGTTCTAAAAATCTAAACCATTCTGATAATAATTCTGATAAGAATTATTCGCGTATTTTGAAGAGCCTAAGATAACAATACCGTTCATGTTCATTGCTGTTGTTACACTGGCACAGCGCGTCTTCAAAGCACGATGCAGCAAAAGCCATTTCAACATTATATTTTCAAAATCCATCACGTACCCTTATGTTGCTCACTTTCTTTTTTCTTTTCCCACTTCTCTGCAGTCTGCACCAGTTTTATAGTTCCGCCTCTTAATTTTCAAACATTAACACACGGAACTGAAACTTTATAAAAGTTATTATTGTCGAGCATTACTGTCTGAACCCTGACATGGGGCCCCCTGGAGGCCAAGGGGCCCTATGCAACCTCTTATATAACTTATTAGGTCGGGCCGGCTCTGGTTGGTCCCCATTAAGGTTCACTATATGGAGAAAAATCCTGGAATGTTTTCCTCAAAAACCTTAATTTCTTTTCGACTGAAGAAAGACAGACATCTTGGATAACATGGGGGTGAGTAAATTATCAGGACATTTTTATTCTGGAAGTGAGCTAATCCAGCCCACGTACCCTAACCCCATTTCAGTTTTTTTATCCGGCTTAGCTACAGCGATAACTGGATGTCTTTGTCCATATTAGGGATTTCCTGGCACGTCATAAATTATTACCTCTATAAATTCGTCTTGGACTTTCTGCAGGAAAAAGCAGATCACGGCTTCGAGTATGAATGAAACATCCACTGCATGATAGTGTTTAGCGTTCCAAGTTGACTATCTCATCTCTTTGAATATAAATCTAGATTTATTCACACTTGCCCATGAAAAACCTCTATGTGAACACACTTGACTGAAAAAAGTGCAAGGGGCAAATTCACGTTTTATCAAAAGTCGGGGGGTGGAAACGTCCCCCGCATATTCTACACCCATGTGCCTCAGGGTAATGAGGAGAGAGACATCAGTGTCACAAAATGATCAATGTACATTTTGTCATCAAAATGAATTGAAAGCACTGAGCTGCTTGTGAAGGATGAAACAGAGTGCGGAGAATACCTTTTTTTATAGCACGTTATACAACAGAGATTGTTTCAAAGCAGATTCACAGTATTATACATGAAAGTAATAGAATCGATGATGCAAACTTCAAAAATGAGGCAAATCCAAATAAATAATGTCATTATTCAGCTCCAGTCAGTTCAGTGTTGGTTCCATTCAGTTCAATAACTGCATAAAGTTCATTAATATGAAACAAATTAAATTCAGCTATAATGCAGATCTTCAGAAGACAAGCTCAATTCATATTGGTCTTTGCTGGTTTAAAAAAAAACCGGAATGAAACAACAACTACAACACCACATTTTCAAAGGAACTTGTGCCAGAATACAATTATAAAACTTGTTTAGCTCACTCTGTTTTATTGATTTCAATTATCATGTGGTTTGCGCCAGAGCTTCCTCATCTAGGCCTCCACATTAAAAAAAAAAAAATTACATTCATTTCCTCTAATTAGATTTTAAGTGGAGTAATTGACCCTAGAAAACATGAGTTACATGGCTACTCTTTTGGCAAACAAATTGTGTACTCATAAGAACTGAGATTAGTATTTTATGGTGTTAAAAGATTATTTAAACAATAAATACTTCATGGGATAACGACATGAAGCCATATGTTGTCATTAGTGCAATGTAGAGTATAATTACTCTGCCTTAATATAGTTTTGAAATGACCCCACTTCCCACTTCTGTAGTCAAAATTACATCACGCTCAAGTGCTTTGTTGTTGGAGATAATAAACACAATAGGCCAGAGAAATGCAATATGGAACAAGTGGTTGCAGATATTGTCAGTAACTTCTAAGCATAATAATTCTGAGGATATTGATTGGAGCATCATCATTGCAAGTGGTTCATTTTGTGATGCTCTGTCTGAACTGATACCAGAATATTTTAGTAGTACTGAAGTCTGTACTTTGTTATTTAATTTTACATTTACTTTAACTTTACAAGCACTGGTACATGCTTTTATCCAAAGCGCCTAACATCATATTCAAGGTTTACATGTTTTTTTTTTTTTCATGCACTCCCTAAGGGAGAAAAAACTGAATTGATTTAGCGAACCTCCATTTACTCTGGCTTTAATGGGCATTTACTTAAATGCTAGCCAAACATGTTTTCAGGCACATGCTGCAATCTTGGTCTATTTACAGATGTCTCTAAAAACAACATGTCACATTCTCCTTTTTTAGGTTAAAAAAGGGGTTCTAGTTTGAGCTAGGAAACAACCCAAAATAAGCTATGGAATTTATTTTAGAAAGAATTTATTTAAACACTTTTACATGTTTGATCAAGCAGTTATTGTATACATGTATCCTACCTGTGAAAGCAGTTACAACAATAGCATAGCAATTGCACACAATGTGTTTTTTAGATATACAATCTGTGATAAAAGTGTTCCAATTTACAAAACAAATTAAAGTACAATTACATATTAAAAAAAACATGACAACCATCCAGATAAAAACACACAACAGTCTTGAATTAGGTGAAAATAAACCTGTGCATAAAGATAAATTCTGTTAAATGAATGAAAGCACTTAGATCGATTTGCTTCTCGCCTGCTGTTACTTCTGTAACTCCCCACTGCTTTCTGTTGTTTTGGTTTCTAGACTGATGAAGAGTAAACCACATGTGAGTAACTTGAACATAATGAGAACTTAGCACATGCACATGCACACAGCTTCTGAGCATTAGTTAGGAGCAGTGTTAAATGTCAGAGGAGTTCAAAATCTCAAGGCTTTGTTACTATAGTGATGCCCTTTGTCTGCTGTTTACCCTTTTGCACTAAAGCACTTAAAATCTCCTAGCACAAGAGTGTGATTACCATCACATTAACTTCCAATTCTGCCTGAAGCACATGCATATTGTCTTTTTATATATTGACTGTCTTTAAATATTAACAACTACTGGTTCTAACGCCATGTACTCTAAACCAGGGGATTTCAAACTAGGGAACTAGGGTTCTAGGGACTCATGGAACATTTTAGAGATTTTATCAAATGTATATTTTAGGGCTAACCAAGTTAAGGTGTATACAACTTTCGCAGTTAATTTCTGATTAGAATTTAGAAAGCAGAAAGAAAAACGAGTAGTAAACAGAAGTAATGGCAAATTCAGTTAAAAAATCATATAATTCATGTATTAAACTGATAGTTCAGCCAAAAATGAAAATTCTGTCATCATTTCCTCACCCTCATGTTGTTCCAAACTTCTATGTCCTTAAAACACAAAAGAAGATATTTTGAAAAATGTTTCAGCTTATTTTGTCCACATACTGAAAGTCAGTTGGGTCCAGTGTTGTTTAGACACCAACATTCATCAAAACGTATTTTTAGAGAATGGTTGAAAACCCTTATTCTGTATGCCTTATTCTATATAAAATAGACTTTACATTGTTAAAAATGCTCTCATATTAGCTTACTTTGGTTTAAGCTTTGGTCTGTTTTGGTTTCAGTTTTGTAACGTAAATCTTAATGTATTTATAGTTAATTTGAACTTGGATCATTTCTTAATATATTTATTTCTTTGAAGTAAAACACCCCATACCGCCAACACTGCTTTACACTTTCTTTCAGCTTTTTGTGGCCAGAGATTTTTCTTCTTCTGTTACAAGCATGGACTAAACCCAACAATGAGTTTTCCATTCACACCACTGCATCACGTGTCTCTGCAGATGCCTTTGAAAAGGCGCACCCCGCAGTCAGATCCCTGCGGAAATGCATTTTCATCTTATGCCTGTGGCCTCTACTACAAGTAAACACACATGCTCATACCAGCTGCAGACTCTATACTCAAGCTTGTTCTTAGGAAAAATGGCTAACAATTTACTTAAAGCCTTTATATATAATGCATTATAAAAGTAGTTTTAATACATGAATAATGCCTTGTAATGCACCTTATAATGCATTGTATGATTTCATGAATAATTGTAACCACAGCTGTAATACATTGTAACACTTATATTATTCATTGCTACACCTTTAGAAAGTATAATGCATTAAAACACATGACAATCAAACCTTCAAATATTATAATATGCATTTTAACTTTGATTATAATTATGAAAACACAATGCATTACAACACACATTATGAATACCTTTATAATGCATTATACATGAAGGCTTTAAGTGTTACTGAACATTGCATTGAAATTGAAAATGTTGCATACCCCCACCACCACATAGTATTACATCACATCTAGTTATGATAATGGTTTGTTCTGTGCCGTCCCTCTGTTGCCAGGGAGCTTGATACAGATTGTGTGACGAAAAGTTCCTGAGGATTTGTTAGTGGGTTTGGGATAAGCCATGCTCTGATTAGCATCGCTGTGAAAGACTTTTATACTGGGGTTGACACTATAACCCCCGCTAATGCTAACAGCAGGGCTAACGGTTTCAGTAATGCAGCCAGGGCGGCGCAGGTCATCAGCAGTGCTCAAGCTATGACTAATCGATTTGACGGTAGGACTTTTCTCTGCCAGGTAACTGCTTACACCGTTGCTAATATCAGTCGCGACAAAGCTAACATTAGATTCATCACTCAAACCTGCGTCTGTCATATCCGCATTATCAGGAGGAGCACAATGTGTCCTCACCTGGACTGACGTTTGCTGAGGAGGTGTAGTAAGTAACACCAGTGGAACATTATGACCATAAAACAGTGTCTGTGGGATCTGAACCTTGACAGATTCTCGCATTTTTCCCTCAGTTTTCTGCTCTGTTTCCACCGAGACGCTTTGAGTTTGATCCGTGACCTTCGAATGTTTTAGCATCACCCTTCCTGCAGAAGGAAAGACTGTGATTTTCATTCCGCTCACTTTCTGCCCACCTGAGGCATGAATGTTTGAGCGAGCCTTTGGACAATCCAGCTGTATCTGACTTGCAGAGTTTTCTGCTTTGCTACTTGATGGCTTTTGTGCCGTTGCGGGTGTGTTTGTGAGTGTTTGTGTGACCTGGGATTCCTGTATCACACTGTCAATTGGATTCACCCGTGGGACTGTCCATATACTGTATGGATTCAGCGAGACCGCTTGTGAATTCATGTCAGGATTGGGCTTTATCTGACATGCGGTGGAGGACTGTAATGGATTCACACTAAACTCCACGCTGCACACAGTCTCAGAGAGACACTCTGGCATGCGTGGTCTTGCTGAACCTTTAACCTCATGAATGTCGCCGAAGGACTCACAGCTTGTGGCATCCTCATTCTCAGCTCTTTCTCCATCCATTACTGCTCTTTCTCCATCACAGTCATGAAAAGATACTTCAAATTCACTCTCTTTCTCATTGTCTGTCTCTTGAACTTTCTCTCTCCAAACGTTCTCTTCCTCTTCATAAGTGAAAGTACTTGTCCAGCGCTTTCTGGACATTTCAGGTGTGAGTGGCCGCAGTTTCGCAGCAGCTCCAAACAGAAAAGGCCGGGACTGCGTATCTTGAGGGCTGGGGATGGGATCCGCCGAGCTGAGAGACAATGTACTATCCAGAGAACTGAGGGAAGAAGTGGCAGTAGATGACAGACTTGACATGCTGGCCAATCTCTGCGCAGGATGACGGAAGCGGGTGGGGATTTGCGGCGACTTCCAGAAAGTGTAACGGCGTCTCCTTGTACCCATTCCAGAATTGTGCGATTGTTGTTCTGGGCTTAACCCCAAGGAGCTGCGTGACTGCTCACTTCTGCTCTCTGTTACAGCCGCATCGTAGCTGGATTGGCGGATAACAGGTGTATGAGTCGGTGCAAGTGTTTGGGGTGTGGAAAAATACATTGAAGGCTCAGAGAGGCAACGATCGCGTGATTGGCTGAGTTCCCTGACTCCCAGCATGCTTACAGAAGCACTGGAACGTGAGGGAATGGAATCCAGTGTTCCACAGCTGTAGGTGTCTTCTGTTGTTGGCATATCAGTATGAAAGGGCTGGGGTCTCCTCTTTTCTTTCAGAGAAAGTGCAGCCAGAGGGAGGAAAAGAGGATGAACTTCAGGCAATAGCTAATCGTTAGTCGACCAGAAGAGGCTTGGTCGACCAAAATTTTAGCTTAGTCGCAGAAAAAAGATCCACATTGGCGAAGTCATGCAGATCATTAACGGCTGGTCTATGGTAATACAGTAGGCCTTACATCTGGCAGGACATCCAAACACTCGCCTCTCATTCATCCACCACAAATATGGCTTATCATCTGAAATATGTAAGTATTATCAACTTTACATGGCCTTGGGAAGAAACGGTGAAGTCTTGATCTGTGTCTTCTGAAGAGGAGTGCTGAAGAAAATACGAACCATCTATAAAAGAGAGAGTGTTTACAAAACTTTATGGATAAGACTGAAAAGATACGATTTTTTTTTTTATTATTTAATTTGGCTAAACACAAATGCTCATGAAATAAGTGCAAATCTTAATTTCAACCACTGTGAAAAATGTGTATAAATACCTAAAATAAGTATATATATTTGTATATGCATTATATCATTACACATATATACATTTTAAATTATATCATATCATGAAATTATATATATCATGCAGATCATTAACGGCTGGTCTATGGTAATACAGTAGGCCTTACATCTGGCAGGACATCCAAACACTCGCCTCTCATTCATCCACCACAAATATGGCTTATCATCTGAAATATGTAAGTATTATCAACTTTACATGGCCACTCAATCTAATGTTTACCTATAGAAATGTGCGCTGTTCAAGTGTCTGTGCTGAACAGCAGCTCACTGCATGACAGATGGAGACACCGGTACGCTCACTTGCTCTTAAAATAATCCCTCATTTTTGGTCATAAAGATAAGAGTAATACATCTTTCAAATCTGCAAAGACTCTACGTTTATTTGTGTGCACTTAACAAAACGTGCTTTTGTAAAATAATGAAAGCAAACAGGATGCGCTTTCTGCCGTCTCGGTCTGTGAA